ACTCCTACTTGGCGGGCGGGGTGGGGGAGGTACTGCGGAGTGGTGGGGGGCGGCCCAAGGTGGTGGGAGAGGTTCTGGCCCATGCTGCGCCTGGGCTGGGACTGGTCCTGTGGTGCAGGGTAGCAGGAAGCTCTCCACACACTCACCGGACCTGGTCTAGGACTGCGTCTGGGGGCTCCCGGAACTCTGCTGAAATTCCTACTCGGCAGGCAAGGTGGGGGAGGTACTGCGGAGTGGTGGGGGGCGGCCCAAGGTGGTGGGAGAGGGTCCGGCCCACACCGCGCCTGGGCTGGGACCCGGAGTTGGTCCCACCGGTGCAGAGTTGCCAGAAACTCTCCCACACACTCGCCGGACCTGGGCTAGGACTGGGTCTGGGGGTTCCCGGAACGCGGCAGAAATTCCTACTCGGTGGGCAGGGTGGGGAAGGTACTGCGGAGTGGTGGGGGGCGGCCCGAGGGGGTGGGAGCGGGTCCGGCCCACACCGCACCTGGGGTGGGACTGGTCCTGCAGGCACAGGGTAGCAGGAAGCTCTCCACACACTCACTGGACCTGGGCTAGGACTCATGAAGCCTTTTATGATCCTTCCTATTTGGAATTAGTTAGGGTCACTCCCAGCCCATATAGTGCCTTTTCCTAAAGACACTTGACTTGTAGGTGTTAGGAAATCATCATATTAAAAACAAATTGTTTTGTCTGCTGCTGGAAAAGTATCAAAATAAATATGTAAATTTTCGTGCCAGCAATTAAATTGCTGCCCCTCCCCACTAGATATGGCTCAACCTATACAAGCTGTGGTGGATAGCCAACTGGTGGTCAACTTGTTACACCCAGCTGAACTGAACTAGTGTGGTTCTGGGTGTGGGAGGCCCAGCTGAGGACTCTTGCCAGTAGCATAAGAGGCAGAACTGGAGAAGCTATAGAGAGGCTGTAGGGAAGCTGTTGAGAGAAACTGTTAGAGCTGTTGGAAGCTGCTGGTTCTCTTAGGCTTTCTGCTGGGTGACCTTATCATGCTGGCTTTCCTGTGAACTTGGTTGTTCTCCTCAGAGGAGGAGCTCAGGACCTTATTGTCACTGAGAATGACTACAGTTCATGTTGGGGGAGCTCTGGTCCTCCTCGTGAGCATCACTTCCTGGCTGTAGGGGGGAAGATGGAACATTGCTTGGTTTCCAGGAGAAGCTTGTCACATTTGCTTTTCTGATGGGAAGTCAGCTGTCCTCCTCATCAGAGGAGCTCAGAATCTCGCTGTTGCTGAGGATGGCTGTGGTACGTTTTGGGGAGCTCTGGTCCTTACTTGGAGCATTACTTCCTGGCTCCAGCTCAGATTCCTCAGCCTACAGTGCAGCTCCTTCATCCCACTGGTATAGACTTTCTAGCTTCCACCACCAACCTTCAGGCCTGCCCAGCATGGATCTGTAAAGTGGACCTTATGAGACATTGTCATATAGGTCCTAGTCCTCCAGTTGGTCATATGAGAGTCATTGGTAGGGGTTCTAGGTCTTCAGCTCGACTCATGCAAGATATTAGGATACAGGCTCTCAGATGGAGTCTTTGGTCTTTAGTGTGTGGACAGATTTCCTACACTCTTGTATATGATTCTTTGCATGATTTCTTATAAAATGTGTCCTATATTGTTTTCTTCCCCTTGCAAAAACTGCAAGCCATAACACAAATATATGATGAAGCTCTGAAATAATCACTTATGCTCCTACATTCCGATAATTAGCAATGCAATAATTACTTAATTAGCTGCCCTATCATTCTGCCTTGTGTCATGCCATGAATGTACTTCATGCCTTGGATATACTTCCCACTAACTGGGAGCTCTGAAGACTGGAGCACTGTATTCATCTTGGGATCTCCCAGGTCAGAGAAAGCAGCTTTTAGATAGGAGGTGTTTAATATTCAGTTCTTCTTGTGACCCAAGGGAGGCAATGGTGGCAGAAAGATTCAGAGCATTACCTTTGGAACATGATTTCCCAGCTTTGAATCCTCTGGATTCACTTGTTAAGCATGTGAATGTGGCCTGGATGTTAACCTTTGCTTTTCATTTTCATTTTTAATGTGGAGATTTATAAAATCATTTTCATCATAAAATTGGAATGAGGACCAGATAATTAACATGAGTTAAAGTGGTTAGAATAACAGCTAGAAAATGCTTCAAGTGCTAGATATCATCCTAACAGTGGGCTAAAATAGAAGGACTCTTGTCCCTTCTCACCTGAAGGCACTGGACACTAAATTCCATCGTGAATCAGTTTTGCAGAAATTTCACAATATATATCTAAGAACTAGTTAAACACCCTCCCCACCTCATCTTGAGGGCATGAAGAAAGCAACAGTAGGAAGTTGGAGGGGGTCTTGTAGAGATTGGGATGTGTGATCAGTGTGCAGTGTGCTGTGGATCATTCATTCTACGGCAAAGGTGCTCTCACTGTAATGTAGAGAACTTTAATGAGAATTAGAGCCTGCCAGCACAACTTAAAGGAGCCGAGGTTTATATTGGCTCACAATGTCACAGTCATGTCACTCCAAGGCAGAAATGTCTGATGGGAAGGAGGGCCTGTGCAGAAGACAGCTGCTCACCCAAGGCAGCCAGGAAGCCGAGCAGGAGGAACTGGGGACAAGAACCTAGGCCTCCAGGCTGCACCCTCAGCGCCACCGTCCATAGCTGCCACCTCTTCGTGACTCCACTGATGAGTGCAGGGCCTCCTGATCTGATCACCTTTCAAGTGCACGAGGGACATTTGATCTAAACTGTAGCAGTGAGCTAGAATAGAAATGGACTTACTCTTCTCAAAGAAGTGCAGCTGAAAGTACCTCTGTGGTAGGAGGAGTTTTCTAAAGAACCCAACCCAAGGGCTGGTGAGATGGCTCAGTGGTCTAAAGCACCTACTTAGAACAAGCTTAGCAAAGCCCAGGGACCGCGGTTTGATCCCCCAGCACCACATGCCAGCCCGCCCGCCCCCTGGTGGGCTGAGCTGGCCACACACACAAATAAATAAATAAATAAATAAAATTAAAAAAAAAAAAAAAAAGAACCCAACCCAAGGCAGAAAGAACCAACTTTGTGTTTAGGACGATATACTGACTCCTCTCACCCACAGAGGATGAACTTCCAGGCCCCAGTGCTGCCTGAAGCTATGGACACAGGTTCTCACTGTGCAGTTCGGACTCCCATTAGGGCACAGCATGTGGTACCGGAGATCAGACTCAGATCCTTGCATTTGCAGGCAGATGCTTAAGCCACTGAGCTATCTCCCTAGTCCTGAAGCTATGGATAACACCAAGTTTCATATATACTGTACATACACTTCTATGATACAGCTTAATTTATATTAGGTATGGTAAGAGATTATCAACATAACTAATCTTTAGCCAATTTCAACAACATGTGGTAATAAAAGTCATGTAGGTATGTGTGGTAACCTAGCTTGTGAGGTGTGCTGATGGGAGGATGCTGCCTTCTGGGGCAGGATACAGCAGACAGTGCAAGATTTCACCGCTGCACTCAGAACAGCACGCAGTTGGACATGTATCAGTTGCTCAGTTCTGGAATTTTCTTTTATTTATGTATTTGGTACAGGGTCTCACAATGCAGCTTGGACTCATAGTGATGCTCCTGTTTTCAGCCTCCCCAGCTCTGGAATTACAGACGTGTGTTACCACGCCCGGTCTCGGTGGCTGCTCAGCACTCCCTGGGGGTGGGGCTTGCACACATATGGTGCTGGGGATCGAACCCCCACCCCTGCACTTGCCTACGCAGGCACTTAGTCCATGGAGCTATCTCATCAGCCCTAGTTCTGGAATTTTCTATTAGTATTTTTGAATCACAGAACAGTTAACTGTAGAGTACAGAACTCTGCTTCAGGCAGTTCCTGGCACTCTTCCCTGTGTCCCACAGTGTTTTTCCAGTCCTCCAGCTTTGGTTCTGGAGGCATCCATCCTGAACTTGGTTAATCAGATGGAGGAGAAGGAACAGGAGCTGAACTTAGGGGAAAGGAGAGGCAGTGAAGCGGCCGGTCCATCCTGTCCCCAAGTCTGGGCATTTTCCCTATCACAGACTGCAGCTGGGTTGCAGCTTCTCGAGGGAGTTGTTTGCTTTGAAATCAAGGTTGGCATTTTTATTAGTATGCCAGGCTGGAATATAAAGCACTGAATTGAGACCCTGAATCTAGCTTCCGCCGTGAATTTCATGCGAGCACAGCATGGATTTTGAGACCTGGTTCATGAGTAATTTCCTGTCTGCCTGCACCCCAAACCCACATCTCCCTGGGCCTGCTCCATCCAGCCCAGCCCCCCACCAGAGCCCCTGCGAGGCTGACTTCACTCATTTAGCTTAGAAAACTGTTTGCATGACCTTTTCATTAACCAAGCTTTACACACTAGCATGGCAGGGGTAAATGCTCCGCCTTTACATAATTGTCCCCCAGTAAAGATTGTGTGAAAGTAATTTGTCTTAAAAACAAACTAATATGGTTTCATAAGAAAGGCTATAATTCAAACTTGTCTATATTTTGAGAGATAAATTAAAAAACATCAGCTGTAGGACCAGCCAAATAGCTCAGCGGATTAAAGCTCCTGCTTAGGCAGATGCAGGGGCCGGGAGTTTGGTCCCCGGGCCTGCTGTGCCTACTCTGCACCCCGGGATGCACTGAGGCAGCGATTGAGAGATTGGGTGTGGTGGTGCATGCCTGTAATCCCAGCACTTTGGAGGCTCTAAACAGGAGGATCGTTATGAGCCCAATCTACACAGTGAGACCCTGTAGACCCTGTAGACGCTGTCCTAAAATACAAAAACAAAAACAGAAAAACGTCTCAGCCTTCTCAGCAATACAATGTAATTGGGAGCAGTATGTTCTCAGCATTTGCAAGGGTTTCCTGGGTGCCCAGAGTTTGTAAAAAAATATCTCGTAACACTGAAGCAAGTATGTTATTCTGAGAAGTTTTGGGGGGGAGCTTTTTTTGGTTTGTTTTTATACTTTTCAGTGCTTTTCTTGCAGGTTTCTTCAGGAGGAGCATTACCAAAAATGCCATGTACAAGTGTAAAAATGGTGGCAACTGCGTGATGGACATGTACATGAGAAGAAAGTGCCAGGAGTGTCGCCTCAGGAAGTGCAAAGAGATGGGGATGTTGGCTGAATGTATGTATACAGGTATTCACCTCAAGCCATTAAATTCCACCAGAAATCTCTTAAGGCGGCTGTTGCCAGGTAACCCATAGCACCATGATGACACATCACATTCTACCCAAGGAGCCTGCCGAGCTATCCAGGTTCTTGAAAAGGGTCACAAACCCCTGAAGTTGTCTAAGCTGTTGACTAAAGAGAATCTTATTCACCTGAAAGAAATGGTTGTTGTTTATTTGTTTTGTTGCAGGAATTATACATGGAGTGAGACGATATTCACAATGAAAATAATGGGCTTAATGAGTTCTGAAGAATAACATTCTGGAAGTTTCCCCCAGATTTGATTTTAATATACTTCTTACTTATTGCTTAATTAGCATAAAAACTCACAGTTATGGAAGAAAATAGGAATGCTGCATAAAGTATAATCGCCTCTGAATTGTCTAAATAGAGTTTTAAACCAAGTCCTTTTTAAAAGAATCCATCTTCCCTTTGTGAAGCTCTGAACCAATTTGTATAGGCTTACACAGGAAATTAACTACTCTGAGTTTTAATATAATTTCATCCTTCAATCTGATAAAGAAACACTGTATTAACTGCTGGCTTTGTGAGGATCCATAATCTTCATCAAAAATTGGAATGCATGTTGGTATAGAACACAATTAATTTTTCATCCTGCAAATTTTACAGACAACTCAGATGCTGAGATATATCTCGTTCCTCCTCAAAACACAAATAGGCAAACAAATGTCACCAAGGGGACAGTAGCATTCAGGGAGGGAATGCCACATGAAATAAAAGCGTGCAGAACGTGACTCCAGTTCTATTGTTCCCAAACTATACAGGCTACTGGGACGGACCCAGAGAAATAATGTGTGCAGGAAGGGAAAAATAGGTCTGTGTAAATAATCCAGCTCTTGGGGGATGAAACTTTTATGGTGGCTGATCACAATCTCATTTTAGCATACATGAAACAAGAGCCTAAATACAGGCTGCTGCTGGAATCCAATCTTGCAATGGAAACTCCTACTTTGATGCTAGGTGGTTTATGTTGCTTATCATTTAAACATGAACTTGTTCCAGTTGGAGCTCAGAAGACAGTTTATATAGCTGAATCCCCCTATATAAGTCTATAATGTTATTTATGGGTGCAAACATTTCCAGTAACAGATATAAATCTTTCATGAATCTATAAAGTAAGTTCCCTACATGAAGAACTTCCTGGAACTTTGTTTTATTAACACTGAAGGCAAAATAAATTACATGAGCATATGAAATGTTGTGCTACATGATTTTTAAACTTCTGTTTAAGTATCAATCAAGAATATTCTGTATTCATTCAAAAATGTTCAATCAGTGTGTGTTAGATTTCCATCACTTAAAAAAAAGCAAAAAAAAAAAAAAAAAAAAAGAAAGAAAAAAGAAAAGCCTAAGATAACTTAAGAGAAAAGGTTGATATTGGCTCGCAGTTCTAGAAGGCTTAGTCCATGAGTAGTTGGACCCATTTCTTTCCTTTTAGACTCCTAGTAGGGATGGAGAATGGTAATAGTGGGGAATGCACAGCAGAGGAAACTTCCTAGTTCATGAACAGGAAGCAAGCAAGCAAGAAGAATCTGGGGTCTCACAGTCCCCTCTGAGGCCACACCTCCAATGACTGAAGGACCTCCCACTAGGCTCCGCCTTTTAAAGGAGACAATCCTGAAAGTCAAGCTTATGACACATTGGGCTTAGGGAGCCATTCAGTGTCCAAGCTGTAGTACTCCTTGATTATCCTAATTTTTAACTATATTTTCAGTATTCGGTGTAGTAGTGAAAATCAACAGGATTTATTTTTTTCCCTAAAGAATCTTAAAGTTTGTTTTACTCTATAAATGTAATTTTATGTATTTAATGTGAAGCTGAATATGCTTCTTATGGTACAGTAAAGGGTGAAAGTAATGTTAATGTCATGTTGTGAAGCACCAGCTCGCTGTCTCCTAGGCTGCTTTGTATAAGGTTTTAGCAGCACACATTCTTTGTAGAAAGTGTCTGCAAAATGATTTAATTACATAGCATCTATATAAAACTATGAGGAAGATGTTCTTTGCATTTTACAAATGGAGCAGCAGAGACTCGCCGAGGTTAAGCTTCATGTGCAAGGTCCGGTCTTAACCCCTGGCCTTCCCTCAAATGTCTGAAGGGTAGAATCAGTTCTGCCCTGAACTGTGTCCCCTCGTTGAGCTCACCACGCAGCAGCTGCTTGAGAAGCACACACCCGACAGAAACTTCTGTCATTGCTGAGGGATCTGTGTTTATTTGTTTTAGGCTTGTTAACTGAAATTCAATGTAAATCTAAGCGGCTGAGGAAAAACGTGAAGCAGCACGCAGATCAGACAATTCATGAGGACAGCGAAGGACGTGACTTGCGACAAGTGACCTCCACAACTAAGTTGTGCAGGGTAATAACATGCAGTGGTGTCTGCGGAAGCCAGCAGGAGGGAACTTCTCAGAGCCTGGCGATCTGGCTGGGAGAATTTCCACTTGGGCTCTGCATTAAAGTGGATTCCATCTTTTAAAAATGTTTACATTTTTATTAGTACATGTTTGCAGTACATAATGATACAGCAGGGAAATGGTACCTTACCTAACACATCTTTATTCCATTTTATCCATCCTGCTCCATCTCCTCCTTCCTGCTCTCTCCATCTCTTGGTCCTCTCCTCTGTTAAGAAAGACCTACCTTTCCTTTTAGGCTTGTTAACTGAAATCCTTGAGACTGGGGTCTCACAGTCCCCTCTGAGGCCACACCTCCAATGACTGAAGGACCTCCCACTAGGCCCCGCCTCTTAAAGGAGACAACCTTGTGGGCTGTGGACTGGATCCACCTGGTTTTGCAAATAAAACCCACTGGAATGTGGCCAACCTCCTTTGTCCACCTTCACATGTGGCTTTCCCTGTTTCCTACTGCCTATCTTTATTTTTGCTCTTTATGTATATTTTGAGTTTTTCAAGCTCAAATATAAGCTGAGTGTCTGAATCATAATCATTTCACTTACTATTGTGGTCTCAAAGTGCATCCCTTTTCCTACAAATGCCTCAAATTTGTTCTTCTGTATGACCAGGTGGTACTCCACTGTATTTAAATACCACATATTCTTCCACTCAGTACAGAAATTCATGCTTTCATAGAAACCTTCAAATGATAGGTAAAAAGCAAAAGTTCTTCTCCTGGTTCCATTCAACTCCCGCTACCACGAGACCACCGGTGGGCATCTTTGGTGTGCAGTGCATGGTGGAGCTTTCTGACCACTTGGGTGCCCATTGTTTCCCCATCTTTGAGAAATGAGGCTTGGACTTGGGAGGCGCGGGCTTGGCAGAGGCTGTGAATTGGGCCTTACCGATGAGTAAAAGGAGGGAAACGCACATCTGAGAAGAGTGCTTCCTATTGAGCCACAACTCCTACAGAAACTCCTGGAGCAACTTAGGACAAAATGCAGGAGCAGCAGTCAGGACAGTTGGACAAATGCACCATGCGATGAAGCACAGGGCATGTGGAAGAGCTCTAAGTCGTCAGTAGCCAAAGTGGCAACATGCCCCAATTGTCTGAGCCGCACCCTTCTCGGTATTATTACACTTTTGGAAAGGAGAACTTCATCCCTTTTTAGTTTTTCATATACATTATTTTGTATTTATTTCAGAAAAAATAATATTGTAGAAAAGTGTCTGCCATAGTGCTGTATCAGGAGCGCTTTGGTATAAGGCAGGAAAGAGCCGAGCCTGTCGTTCACACCCCGCAAAGCAATGCTATCAAGAGGGAAAGAGGTATTTGGGATCTGGGCTGCCCAGACTGAGGACTCTATATTTTGGAGGTCAGAAACAATTGCTCTGTGCAGCTCCAGGTGTTTAGGTCCTGCGTCCTCTATCACAGCCACGTGCGGAGGTAGACAAAGGAGTTTGGCCACATTCCAGTGGGGCTTTATTTACAAAACCAGGTAGATCCGGGCCATGGCCCAGAGTTTCCGAAGCTGCGGGTACAGAACAAGCTTCCACTGTACACATGGGAACCGTTCCTCGGTTGCAGTTAAACCTCCAACTTTCACCAACCTTTGCTACGAAAGGGCCCCCGAAGCCTGGAGCAAATTTAATAAAATACGGTATTTGTCCCACAACCCTAAGAGAGGAATTATATATACTGTGTGATACATAGTGTACTAGAGCTCATAGTTCCTTTTTGTATTGAGGCCTTTTTTATTATTTATTTATTGATTGATTGATTGATTGATTGATTGGCTGGCTCAGGCTGCCATAAGGGTGAGTCTGGTAATGCAGGTGGAGGTGGGGATTGAACCGAGGTATCCTGTGCCCGACTGCATTTGCCTGAGCAGGCGCTTAAACAACTGAGCTAACCGGCAGTCCCCAAAACCTTTTTTAAAAAGAAGTATTTTGCTATTTGCTAATCCAGAGGAAGTGCTCCTCTAACCACCCTCCCTAACACTTTTTATTTTCTTGCCAGTGTAGGAGAAAACTGAACTCACCTCAGATCAACAGAATCTTCTACATTATATTATGGATTCATACAACAAACAGAGGATGCCTCAGGAAATAACAAATAAATTTGTATGTATAACATCTAAAAGACATTTGCTTAAAGTTAACATTTTTCAGAGCTTTTGCCATCTGTTTTTCAACTCTTGAGTTAATTTATTATTTCTATGTAAAAAGTTAAAAAACAGTACAGAAGTTCAAAACATGATAATAGGAAGTTAATAATGGTTATTATATTACATATTGTTATCTTCAAAGTATTTGCTAAGATTATCAGATAAAGGTTTGTAAGGCTGATCAGACAATATAAATACTGTTTCCTTTCATTTAAATAATAGAAATTAGTAATGCAGTTACCTTAGCACATATATATATATTTTTTCCTTCTTTCTTTTCTCCTTTCCCCTATTCAGTTGGTCTTTCCTTTTGAGAAATTTCTTTCCCTTTCACACTACTTATTGTACCTTTCATATCTTATTTAATTTTTTAGTTTCTTTTTTTTGTGTTTAGGACAGGGCGTACAGTGGGTACAGGGTCTCACTGCATAGATCGGACTCGTAGTGATCCACCTGTTTACAGCCTCCCAAGAGCTGGGATTACAGGCGCACCACCATGCCCAGCCTCAATCACTATCTCAGCATGCCACGGTGGCAGGTCCAGCACAGCAGGCCTGGGGATTGAACTCCCAACCCATGCATCTGCCTAAGCAGGCGCTTTAATCCACTGAGCATTTGGCCGGCCCTAAGTTTTTAGTTTCTTACACTAGCAAGACTATGTTTACAGATATGAGTCTGATTTATTTCACTTGTGAGTATGGTCTCTAGTTGCATCCATTTACTTATGAAAGTCTTGAGTTTATATTTCTTCATAGGTGAGTAATACTCTATTGTATAAAAAGACCACATCTATTTTATTCATTCCTCGGATGATGGGCATTTAGGTTGTTTCCAAGATTGAGGGTGCACATATATTGCTGGTATGATGTTTTTAATTCTTCTGGAAAGATACCTGGAAGGGGAATAGCTGGGTTGAGTGGAGCCTCTAATCATAGTTTTTGAGGAATCTCCACACTGGTTTCCACAGTGGTTGCACCAGCGTGCACTCCCACCAACAGTGGAGTGGTCCTTTTTCCCCGCAGCCCCTCCAGCATTTGTCATTGGTTGACTTCTTGGTGACAGCCATTCTTTCTGGGGTGAGATGGGATCATGGTGCTGTTTTAATTTGTATTTCTTGGATGACCGATGAGGTTTCCATATATTTATTTGCCACTTGTATTCCTTCATCTGAGGGGTGTGTATTCATCTCAGATGTCTATTTTTGGATTGGTTCTTTGAATTTGGGGGATCTGATGGAGCTTATGTAAAATATGTCACTTAAAATGGTTAGATCTGAGAATTTAAGTTATATATTTACATTTTTAGCAGTGCTAAGCTATTAAGGAGGAAGCTGCCTCACATCTATATTGTTAATAGTAATTTCTCTCCAAAGATCTGAGAAATATGAGCTTAGTCTCCAAGTTTATAATTTCAGTCTGGGTTTTCTTTAGTCTAATGATTTTATATTGATTTACACTTCTCTTATCTACATATTAATTATTTATTCTCAAAATTTAGTTAAAAGAAGAATTCAGTGCTGAAGAAAATTTCCTCGTTTTAACAGAAATGGCTACCAGTCATGTACAGGTTCTCGTAGAATTCACAAAAAAGCTGCCAGGTATTTTTAAATTTAAAAAGTTAATATTTATTGGTCATGTAAACATGTGACACAGGTTACATTAAACATTTTGTATGTAATGTTCTGTTTCACTCTTAAAACATTCCTGGGTGATCAGCTCTGTTATAACTATTATTATTGATATGTAGTTATTTATCTGCTATACTGTATTCTTGTGATACTGAGTCAGGCCTTCTCCCTGTACAGCAGAATCATCTCACATCCAATTTAACATGGCTGACTACTATAGACATGCAAGATTAGAGACACAAAGCATATTTAAAGTCACTTGTAATAATTCTTCTAAATTAGTAGATAAAACTCGGAGCTGTGAAGTTGATATCCACAGGCACATTCACTCCATCAGTAGTTATCGATGTCTACTCTAAGCCCATGCTTAGCTCTTCCCTTCACTGGGAACAGCTGGGGACTGTTCTATTTATAATAGACACAGGCACACAAACACATTGCTCTTCACAGAGAGGATTAGTTGCTAACAGTGGCTTAGAAGTGCAGGGAAACTTGAAAAAAGGTCTATGTTTGAGTTGAGTTGAAAAGATTCTTGAGTTTTCCCATTTGCACAGAGAAGGGTGTTCCAAGTTGAGAGGGATGTTTGCAGAGAAGCAATGAGGCATGAACAAAAAATAGGATTGTTAGAAGTGGGAGAGAACAGTACGTACACCTTTATCTTATTTGTAGAAGATGGTCTTGAACGGGAGGCAGGACCAGCTAGTATGCTGTTGAATAGCCCCAGAGAAGAGGGTTTGGAACAAAGCCATTGTAGTGGGAGAGAAGAAGAAATTCAATGAATACAGAGTAAAAACCTGAGGGAACTTGGTGAATAATTGTATGTGGGAGGTAGAAACTTTCAGTCATTCTGATGGTGCCAGTACAGAAGCTGGAATCTGAGAATCTTATCCTCCAACTCAAATTCTTTCTATGATATTGTCAATGCTACTGGAGCTCTTCAGTTTAAATTGTTTCAATGTATCAAAATAAATCAGTGCATTAAAACCTCATCTTTCAGAAGATTATTATAGATACCTTGTAGGTCTCTGTAACACTGCAACTTTAAATTACAGAAGGTACCTTCTGATTTTAATTAGATATGTTAATCTTCCTTCTTTGTCCAGCCTTATGCTGTTGTTTTATTAAATGTGTCACAGATAGACATAAACTTGTATAAAACTCATAAAATATGGGGGAAAGCTCTCACTATCATTGAAACATCAATATTTTCATTCTTTATTAAAAGCGGAACAGAAACTTAATTTATTATATGCTAATTAAGGTGAGGACAAACCTAATTTAGAAACAAGACTACAGAACAGTCAAAAGGGGAAGAACTGAGAAAATAAAGTATGTTCTTCGTTATTAATGGGAAAACATTTATTGAGTACTAATGGTCAGTTGGTATGACCAAGAAATAATTGTAGGTGAAAAAAGTCTCCTTCGCAAGAAAGTAGTTCATCTGAAAGCAATGGTAGTGTCTTTACATCTCTTCATTCCCAGTGCCTTGCTTGCTTTGAGGAAAGGAAAACAATACAGAAGAAATAAAGAGCAAAAAGCCCACAGAAGGAAAAAAGAATTAAAGAAATGGCATTATTAATAATGGTAATATTAGCAATACACCAATACTGTAAGGGTATTCTGTGAAAGCCTTAGACTCCTAGTCAGCGCATGGAGCCAAACCCTTACCAGGCGCCAGGCGCTGTCCAGGGTGCTGGAGACCCAAGTCGGGCCGGTGTGGCTCTGGCCTTGCTGTAGCTATTGGCTTCTCCAGGACAGTGACTTTTCATCCTCAGCTGTGAATTCTCATTGTCATGCAAGCCTTTACTTAGTCACTTGGGCTCTGATGGCATTATTTACCCGTTAGTGTGTGTGTATGTGTGCTTGTGTGTATACCAAGATGCACACAAATTTGCGTTTTGTTCCTCATTCATTCACCCATTCATTGAGTTATCTAACAGATAGTTCTGGGATATCTATCACACCCCAGGCACTGCTGTAAAAGTAAGTAAAACAAACTCTCTGCCTCAAGTTTATACTTCAGCAGAGGTGGCAATGAACAAATAAGCAAATAATACATGTCCAATATTATGTCAGATAGTGGTAAATTCTATGAACAAGAGTAAGGCAGGTGTTAGGGTTAGGAGCAGGTGGGAGCTGGGGACACTGCCTTAGGTAGGCTAACCCTGGGGCTAGGAACTGGGGCTGCTGTGGGTGGGGTGTGGAGGTATCTGGGAAGAGCATTCACCCCTCAGGCAAACGGTGATTCTTAGGCTCATGGCAGAGATGAGATGTCCATGTGGTCAAGCACAGAGAGGCAAGAAAGAGAGAAAGGCCACATGCCACCCCGGCCTAGCTGAGACTTGAGCACTTTCCAGTTGGCATTGTGCTCTTCCAGGTCAGCAATTCTTTTCATATGTTTCTGTTTCCACCCACCTTGGATGGCACTGTTCTGAATCAGAGGAGATTTCTCCACTTGGCTCTGATAGATCTTGGAGGAGAAGGGTGGAGAGTGCTCCTTCTCCACTACATTTGACTAAAGGCTCAGGGGTCAGCTAGATATTTTAGATGCACAGAAAGCATTTTTTTTTCTAGCTGTGGCTAGTTCTGTTCTTCAGAGTTGGCCCTGCAGATCAAGTGTGACTAACATAGTGACCCTAAAAAGAATCTCTTTGCCTCCTTTTTCCTGAGGGCTGCTTCACCTGCATCAGCCTGTCTCTACCATAGTATGTGTATTTGGTGTGCAGTTTACATCTCCTTTTGCTTATCCTGTTCAGTAAATCTTGCTCAATGAAGATACAAATGAGCTTCTATTTTAAGGAGTATAGTATTCACAGACTTCATTTGAATCCCCAATCATAAAACAATTACAAAATCACTTTATCAAAGTGCTGTATCCAGGTGGTGATAGTGATGGTGAATCTTCTCAGATGTATATAATGTTTTACATAGAAAGTACAAAACAGTGTCCAAAAGCCACTCCTTGAGGATACTGATCTGACTATTGTCTTTACTCAGGATTTCAGACTTTGGACCATGAAGATCAGATTGCTTTGCTGAAAGGATCTGCTGTAGAAGCTATGTTCCTCCGTTCAGCTGAGATTTTCAGTAAGAAACTTCCAGCGGGGCATGTCGACCTGCTGGAAGAGAGAATTCGAAAGAGTGGTAAGTGATTTGGCTAATGGCAGAAGAGTTTGTTTCTGTGAGTAAGGACTCCTTTATTGCCCAAAGCAGGCCCTTGCTTATCTTATGTGACGCTGCATGCCTGCTGCGGCTGGGAAGGAAGATGGCTCTGAAAGGTATGCAGACTCTAAAAGATATGGGACTCAGATGGGACTTCTGGAAGCTTGAAATAGTGAGAAAGAAACATATTGTCTCCACGGCACTAAGATGAAGGGCCAAAGAAGGATTTTTGAAAACACTGAAAATTAGTCTGATTTTTACAAAATAGCACAAAAACCTTGACTCTGTTAGCCAAAAAGGAGTCACTTATTCAAAACCTTCAGGTATGAAATACTACATATCCAGCTATTGTCTGTCTTTATTCAAAATAAAATAAGAATCAGTTATAAGAGCAACATTTATTACATGCACATACATATACACACCCAGGTTCCAGGTGCTATTCTAAATATACTACATATAAGATTCCATCAAATCTTTGTAAAATCTTATTAAAGAAGCACTACTACTGTTGGCATTTTAAAGGTGAGGAAAAAAGAAAGGTTAAATAACTTCCTCAAGTCATAGAGGAAGTCTGACTGCAAAAGCTATGGATAGATTTTTTTGTTTGTTTGTTTGTTTTTTTTTGTTTTGATTTGTTTTGTTTTTTGCCAGGAGTGGTGCTGGGAATTGAACCCAGGACCTTTTCCATGCTGGGCAAGTGTCCCATCAAGGAGCTACATCCTCAGTGGGAAGCTGTGGGTCTTGTCCACGATTCTCTATAGTATCTCTCAAGAGCTGAGTTGAAAGCATAAGTAATTCACCCTAACTTCTGGAATCAGAGAGGGCAAGAAACTTGGAGACGGACTTCTAGGAATCCTGTGCACCTCGTGTGAAGAAGGCCCTTAACAAAACAAGATGAGTTTTCATTTTCCTGAACCATTTTGTGTGGGGGCTGAGGAATGTAGAGGAGTGAGATATGATTAGCCCTGAAGATCTTTCATTCTACATCAGCAAGAACAAGCTCCAAGACCTCTAAAGCCAGGATTTGATAGAGGGGAGCCAGAGGACAGTGTTCACACAGTGCTGCACTTGGGGTGGAAGGAGAATAATCTGAAAACTGAAAATTACTTTTAGAAGCTGCTTTCCCATAGTCATGATTTTCTCTTCTTAGTGAAAACCTGAAAGTTATTTTTAAGAATCCCAGTTCCATATTTTTAAAAAAATTCCTCAATCTGGAAGTGTAATTAGCATCACTGGCAGAGTTTAGAGAGGTACTATTCTTAGATTTCCATGGATGTGTTAGTTCAGTGAGTATTTAAGGGCAGGGCCTCTGGTGGCAGGGACAAGGAGAGCCAAGCAGGGTGCTGTCTAGGATGCCCACCATTTAGAGGAAAGAGATTAACCACATGGTCATGTCAGAATAAAATGTGGAGAAAGAAGAGAGAAGAGAGACAACTTCTAGTTGCGAAGCTCTCTGGCCTAGCAGGGTCTCATCACTGTTTGAGCTTGGCCTTGAATCAGGTTTGGTTTGGGTGTCCAGGGTGGAGGTTCAGGAAAGAAAGGCCAGGGGAGCCTTGGAACAGAAGCAAGAAAGCAAGGTCCTGTGTGGGAAGAAGAGTGAGTGAGTTGATTTGATAAAGGGTTACATTAAAAACAAGTCCAAAGGTGGAAAAATCCAGAACCATTCGTTGAGCTAAGGAGTTTGAACGTAGGGCTCAAGATTTTATTATTTTCTGAGTGACGTGGAAACCATGAGGATTTTTGAATGGAGGGTAGAAAACCCTAATTCATGAATTATGAGTCCTCCTGTAATGCTAAACGGAGCCCCATGGGGGCGCTCTGTGAGCAGGCAAGGTATGTCAAGGACCCCGGATCCCCGGATGCTGGGGCAAAAATAAGGAAGCATCTGTGTTTGTATCGCCTCTGTTTTTTTATTCTTTGAACCACATAAGTGTAGATCCCAGTGTGATAATAACTAGCCATCCAAAACAACAACAAAAATAAATAAATATGGATTCTAGTCCATATTTCTAAAATATAGATTAAGGCCCAGAAAAGGAAAGAAATAAAATCTGCCAACTTTTATCTGCCAGATAAATGCCAGATGGTAGGTTTTTATCATCTACCTGTTCCGAACTTCAAACCGTGTGTGTGTGTGTGTGTGTGTGTGCGCAGACTAAGAGACTACTGGAGAAGGGTTGAATCCGGTAATCTCCCGGGGCCCTTTTTGCTGTACAAGTCTGACTACTTTTCTTCTCTCAAGTAATTCGAGCTTTCTGATGGATTGTTTGGCCAGCACATAAATGTCCTAGTTTCAAAGCTGTTGCATCATTCCTCACAGTTCAGCTTAGGAAAGAGTGATTGGGGACAAGTTGAATTTTCACAAGTATGGAGTTCACTTTTTAGGCTCTTGACTGTAAATTGGTGGTTTCTTTCATATATAACATTTGTGGCTTTAAGTGGTGATGGGTAAAACCTCACTTGCTTAACTTAGTCTCTTCTTTGGCTCTAACTTCCATGAACTGTGGCTGCATTCTCAAAAGAAATCCATGCATTGAATCTAATGCATGAAATGAGGTAAAAAGAGATGATGACTCATGAGGAAATATATTATTCACTTTACAGTCAGGTCCTGCTGTAGTTAATGCGTGTGTCTGGTTTTGAGAGAAGCTTCTGGTCAACAGCCCTGGCTGCAGGAAGTCCCTTGAATGTAGTGTCCGCTGCTGATTAGCTGTGTGTCCCTACCCCAGACCGTTTTATGAAAAAAGCTATTGAAATAGGCCCCACAAACAATTTGATCTCTTTGAAATCATGTCTAACTTTAATATTTGTTCTGCCATCTTGTCTGGATTTTAATATTAAAAAATTCATAAGCAGCAGGTGTGTCATCTATCAGCTGCCTGCTTGGAGCAGGGGCTCAACAATTCTCTATGGAATGAATCTGAATGAGTGAGTGAGTGAGTGAGTGGGTGATCAGTGGCATGCCTGTAGCTACCGGCCCATTTTTATTTTCCATGGGTTCTGCTAAGTATCAGAGTTCTGGTATCCTGGACTCACAACCAGCCCAGAGTCTTTTTTTTCTCGAACTTGCCTGTAGTAATTAATTTTGGGGATAGGGATACACTTTGCATTTGCACACAAGCCAGAGGCTAAGACAGTAGAGGTCTAGAAGCTCTGCTGGTTTCCTTTCTGCTCCCCTCCTCCCTTCTCCTCCTCTTTTCCCCTCCTTCCTCCATCTCCAAGATGAGTCATTTAAAGTTGATTCAGGTGCCAGATAATGAAAAAGATTTAACATGATTTAAAATGCTTTGATGAGAGGACATCTGAAGGAGGGTTATCCGGAAGTGCTCTCACGCTCTTCCTCTCCTTTTCCTGCCCTCTGTCTCCATCTCCAGCCATCACTGCCTCTTTCTCTCACTCTGTCTCCTGGATGCTCAGCTCTCACTTTTCCTCTTTGCCTGGTTCATCAGATCTCCTGGCTTCAGACCCAGGTCAGTGTTACAATGGTCACTGGGCAGGGCTGAGCTCTTTTCCTAACTTGGCTAAGGTGGGAACATCTCTTCCCCAGGCGTCAGCATGAATAATTCTACTGGAACACTAACAGGAAAGTTACAAATGCTCATAGAAGATATATATGCACGATTCATGGATGTATTAATTATTGTATTAAAAATAGAGTGTTTAGCATCTACTATATGTCAGGCTGTATTCCAAATATGTGAGCTTTGGGTCTTGGAAGAAATCGATACCAAGAAAAGATTAAACATGCAGGAAGCCGAGTGAGGGAAACACTTCTGCATAAAAAGGGGGAGGAAGTAGGTGTGGACCAGGAGAAGCTCTACACTGGGGTGCTGGCCTGACACCCCAGAAGGGCAGGATCTGGGACAGAGAGACCCAGATCACAGGCTAGTTCTCAAGAAGCCTGAGCTGGGCTGAGGGAGAGCATGAAGTCTGAGATGCTCATGGGTTAGACCTACACCAACACACCCGCTAGGCCCAGTCCCTGGTTGGAGAAGACTGTGTGAGGGTCCTCTGCCTTCACGGGGCAGTGGTGGAGACAAGCAGTCTACCCTGGGCCCACTTGGAGGTCTCTTAAAGGGCTCTCTGCCTGGGCACCTCCACAGTCAATGCCACGTAGACTTGTAGGAACATCTGTGTGCTCTTCATTACGCTTGGAGGTGGACCTCACCAGTCCCTCACTACACCTAGATCATGTTAATGTGAACAACTTCCCTCCTCCGAAATAGCAGTCCCAAGCACCCCTTTCCTCTGATAGTCCCCTCTAACTCTCCAGTTCACCTTCTTCTTCTTCTTCTTCTTCTTCTTCTTCTTCTTCTTCTTCTTCTTCTTCTTCTTCTTCTTCTTCTTTTCTTTTTTTTTTTTTGAAGCAAATAGGCAGTTTATTTTGGAATCCCAAGCTTCATTTTAAGTACAGATAGTAAGAGTACAGTACAAAGCACCTTTGTTAATTTTCTAATCCATAAATTATCAATTCATTTTTATATTAATTTTGAGAAAGAAGTAGCAATGAGACAGTTTCAAAACAGGTTAAAAAGATAGTTACAATAATAATACATTGAATATTGTTGTGTTTGTAGTAGTTATTGATAGTATAAGATGCAGACATAATATCTTGTCTAAACACTATTAGTTCAAAACTTTCTTCTCATTGGACTAAGAGAAAGTTGCTGTATATCTATGTTAACTATTTTGAATATATAGATGCATATAAATATTTTTTTTCACTGCAAAATGGTCTTTCATTTATATCCCCCTTTTTGTTTACTTTTGTCAGAGATGGGTATCCTCTTGCCATTCATATATTGTAGGTGCATGAATTCAGCAAAGTAATCCAATATAGTCCAGTAGTCTATAATAGTAGTGGGTTATCTGCATGACTGGCAATGTCAGAGGTTGTTGACTTGAGCCTTTTACAGCTCAGCATATTAATATGGCTTTACTTTTTAATACCTCATTTTTATACTTTTCTGCTGGATGGT